ACTTTATTCCCCATGAAGACGAACTTCTCATTTGGGTTTATGGTTGGGGTTGAAAGGAATCCTTGCATTACATTAGAAACATGAGTTGTACATCCATAATTAATCCACCAAGTATTATGGGAAACTTCAGTTAAGTTTGATTCAAAACATACGTAAACACTATGCTCATCTTTCTTTTCGAACCAAGCTTTACGCTTTAAGCATTCCTTCTGAAAATGTCTAGACTTCCTGCAGAAATGACATTTGTCATTTTTCTTCTGAATATTAGTAGAGAACTCGTTAATCTTTAATGGTCTTTTACCCTTTCCATGTTTCTTAACAACTTTCTTTTTAGCTCCTTGATTTTTCATGTAATGAATAGAGTGACTTCCTAGGTTCTTGAGTCTGGTCTCCTCCTGTACTAACATATTGTGCAATTCATGCACATTCCATTTGTCTTTCATGGTGTTATAATTCATCTGAAACGGACCATACTCAGACGGTAACGAGTTCAAATGAACTGCACAAGAAAATTTTCTTCTATTGCCATTCCAAGAGACTTGAGTCTTGCTGTGATATTTGACATTTCGATTACGTGTTCATGCATACTACGAGAACCATCAAACTTCATGGTGGTCAATGTACTCATCAATGTCCCAGCGAGGAATTTGTCAGTAGTTTGATAGTGCTCTTCCACAAATTTCATAAATTCTTTCACGTCCTTAGTTTTGGAAAAAACATACTTAATATTGCTTGCAATACTCATTCGCATAAACATAAGACTAAGTCTGTTTGACCTTTTTCCAAACTCTATAATGAATTTTCTCTTTGTTGCTACTAGCATTAGTGATAGCAGCCGATTTTTCAACTTGGAAAGCCAAATCAAAATCCAACTCACCTAAGTGAAATTGAACTTTCTCACTCCAGTCAGGGAATTTAATATATTAAAGACTGGAACAGACGAAGTAAGCGAATGTAGAAATACATAAACAAATACTTCAATTAACACATGCCTAACATTAACGCTTTGAGTCATAAAAACTAAACATAAATAATCATTCTATGCATACTAATGTTCTCCTTTGGGAGATCCACTAATACACAAACATAATTACGCTAATCTTTTTATAACATTAATGATAATTAAAATATGCATCAACTAGAATCACCTAACACTTTTGGGTATATAAATAAAACTAGTGACGCACACAAAATTATCTACTTTCATGTTCATTAATTATAATAACAACTAATCAACCTTTGGGTGACCCCGAAATGCCTTATAATAATGAACTTCAATTAACCCATAAATCATTATTCATAATTTTATCATTCATACTATGAGTAATTTAAATAAAATCATTAATAATTTGAAATCAAAATAATCTTAAAATTTTGGTCACTTTGGTGATTAACAAAATTTATCATGCTTAATTTCAAATGAATAATATCTTTAATTACTATTAACCATTCATAGCATTTTTTTTATTAATTTTAATAAATATGTACATTATTCATGTGTCATAAATAAAATTGAAACTCATAATTTCAATTTTCATCCTAAGATTGATTTTCAATTTAAGACTTTTATTTACATTTCACGTAAAAGTGAAATTGTCATCCATTCAAAACTTGTATGAGTAATTTAAACACAGCAGAAACAATACAATTCAGTTGCAAAACAAAATTCATTCATTTATCAATGTTTATATTATAGGTACATTAACAAAGTTTTACAATATATTAACAAAGCTTCACAGTACCCATAACAAAGCTTACAGCATCCTAACAAAGCTTATAGTACCCTTAACAAAGCTTCTAGACCCCTTAACAAAGCTTACAATATCCTTAACAAAACTTACGGTACCCTTAACAAAGCTTACAGTACCCTTAACAAAGTTTTACGATATGAGTATATTTTATTTTATCTTTATTTTATTCTAACTTCACGTAATAATCAATAAGTCTTCATATTTTATTAAATCACATTTGGATCTATTGTTATATTTCACATAAGCCATGTAATTAAATAAATTAATTAAATTAATTCTAACAAAATGAGAATACTAAATGCACCAAAAAAGAGCACAACTTAAACAAACGTGAGCATTTTATTTTTGAACATATATTGATTGTGATTTGTAAAGGTGAGGTGGGTGAGCCCCAGTGCCTTTTGGGATCTTGTGCATGACACACAAGGATAAACTGACACCTTGGTGGACCACCAAAAAATGTCAAGAGTGCACACTCACTCACCTTCCATTTTCCTATCCCATCTCCACTACCTACTAATGCAACATTTGTTTTCTTATTATTCTTTTTTTCCAATAATATTTCATAATTAATGCTATATAAATTTACCGCATTAGTTTGAATAAACTGTTAATTATATTACATTGCATACAATCTAAAAATATATATTATATTATTAACGTGTAGTAATTAAATTCATAAATCTATACTATTTTATTATGATACATAGTCAAAAAGTAGAAAACGAGTTTAAATTCGATTTTTGACATAAAAAGTTAATTTCATGACCATGGAAACCATTTATATTACCCTAAACCGACCCTTCAATCCACGAATAGCCAACTAACTAAATAGCATAATGTTGGCACTTACCCCTCATTAATCACCAACTCACTTGTTGCGAATTTCCAAACCTAATTTGTGGACTCTTCTTCACCATTTCCATTCTGTCTTTTTCTTAACTTTTTCTATTCATCGCATCCATCATTTAATTAATTGTTTATTTAAACATTTTAAAATCATTATTTTCATTCTTACAAACACAAGTACAATATTAGTGTGTCTCTCTGTGTTATTTTGTTATTGAGTTGAAATGAATAAAGATATATGTGCGAGGAAGTGATTTATTCGTGGTAATATTTAACAAAAGTTACAGAAAATTAATATATTTCCTATAGAACAATTTTGTAGATAGTTAAACTTTATGTAATAAAAACGAAATTATATTTTCAAGATAATTTTAGAATCAAATTTGTTAACAATCTCGCATTCTTATTATAAATATAACAGAATTGTAATATCAAGATGTTAATGTTGCTGTACGAGTAGATAGGATTGAGTCAAATTCATATTCCCTTCTTAACAAAATTATATTCAAATATTATAGATTTTTAAATGCAGTTATAAAATCCTTAATTAAATAAACTCCTTATCCACTTAAAAATCTAATAAATTACGAATATACTCTTATGCGAGTGCCTATCTATTACAAAACTTACCGAACAAATTATTTCATGAGTAGATGAAATGAACACTTGGCACGATTTACTTTTTTGTAAAAAAAGTTAAAATAATATTCAACTTTTAAATCTGATTTAATTTTATAAAAAAATTAGTAGATTTTATCCATCATTAATTAAAAGTTTTTAGAAGGTTTGGTTTTAAGAGTTTTGTTTGTGGACATGCTTCTTGTTTTGGGCGGGTCATTACTCCATCAAGCAATTCTATACACTTCCTTGACCACGTACGATTTGACAATAGCAGTCCTATAATAATACATTTATTTCTAGTACGCGCTTAAATGTCTAATTATTTAAAGTAATAATGTACTTTAACCTTTAAAATTTTCTAAGTCTTTTCTAGATCTTAATCCTTGTAATTATGCTTAATGTGTTGATTTAAGAGTTGATTTTTTTCGAAAAAACTAAATTTGCAGTGCATAAGATGAGTTCACAACCCATATAGGTAATGAGCATCACACGCATTTGTTGTCCTATTGAGGCATGAAATCAATTATAAGCTATGACCAAAAGTCATCTGTGATTATCATTGATTGCCAAAAGCTCGTGTTGATGTGGCTTTTGTCGTCGACTAAGCAACATATGAGTAGCCATTAGTATGTTGTTTTGGTCCATGTACATGTGCAAGATATTGAAAAAAAAAAAACCGTTATTTTTGTGATATTCTTCACTAATAACAATAATAAATGAGAAAAGACAAGTGCTATTTATGAGCAAGTTCCTTGTATTTCAAGAAAAACTCATTACAGTCCACGGGAGCGTACAACAATTTAGCTTCGTGGAAGATAATAAATACATAAACAAAAAATATGAAATGCAAATAAAAGAAAGAACAAAAAAAATCGTAAATTCGTAATTACGGAAATGTACCGATGCGATGGAGAGTCCCTGTTTGCTGCTACACGACAAAAAGAGACCCGCCGGATTTCTTTATTTTGGACTTTCATTTGCTTGAGGACACGTACAAATAAAATTTATTCATTTTTAATAAAATTCCGTGCATAGTATTCATGACCTAATATTGATTAAAAGGTCACGTTCTATTCGACGTACATTTTCTTAATAACTGTACACAATTTGAATTATTATTATTAATTACTGATTCACGATTCTTTGTTAAAATCAATTAATGAGTACCAAGGTGTAATTTTGTTAAAAGATACAAATATAATTTTGGTCATGTAAAGAGCTTTAAAATAACAATTTATTGTAATTTTCGAAACTTATATGTTATTTTTTTACCCTAATCTGATGGATTTCTGTTTTTCTGTTACATAATAGAGAATCTTAAGTAATTCATAATTTAACTTAATAATTAGAAAATGATGTTTGGTTAGAAGAATCGGAAAGAATTGTTTGGAGCAATAGCCATACGTAAAGATTTAACTACCATAGTCTACTTTTACCCAAAAAACAAAGAGTTGTGAAGAGGATCCCAAGAGAAGCATTTGAGGTGGATTTACAAAGATACCTCACCAAAACCAATGGAGTGAATTATTGAATTGTAGTTTGATTGATGAAAGGAAAATATAAAAGTTACATACTTATACATCAAACATTCTCTTTTCATTAGCCACAATGGCAACTTGTTTCAAAACATACATTAAAAGAAAAAAGAGACAAAGAAACGAACAACCCTCTAACTTGTATTTCTTCAACCTTCATCAGAGAATATAAAAAATCCATCTCAGTTCTTCCAAAGCCATAGGCCACAGTATATACGGAGAAATCACTTGTATGAAAGGAAGATTAGTCACTCTGTTCAGTAATTTTAAACCATCTGTGTCCTGTTTAAAGAAAATTAAAAATTAAAACCTAAATTCACGTACTTTTAAACTGTTCTTAAAATAAAAAAATTGGAAAACCAAAACTTACTCAGGACTTGTTCAGCAGAAAACCTTCTAGTGACATCTCTGCACAGCATTCTACGCAGGAGATCCTTGGCGGCAGGGGACACAGAACAAAATTCCCGGGTTGGAAATCTCAAACTGGAGCGAAGCACGGCCTCAAAAATCTCCACAGAGGAATCGCCTCGAAATGGCAAAAACCCCGCTAACATTTGATACAAAACGACGCCGGCACTCCACACGTCGACTTTCTCGTTGTAATCCCTTCCGGCGAGGACCTCAGGAGCAACGTAATGAGGTGTCCCTACCACGCCGCTCATCGGCTCGCCCTCTTTGAAAGTCTCGGCCGAGCCAAAATCGGCTAGCTTGAGCCGATTCTCCTCGTCAAAAAGAATGTTGTCAGGCTTTATGTCTCGGTGGACCACGCCGACAAGGTGGCAGTGGGCCACGGCTTTCATGATCTGCCACATCACTGATGCAGCTTCGGGTTCCGGCATGACCTGGTGATGAAACTTGGGTTCGTAACAAAGGTCGAGAACCATGTGGATGTGCGTTTCGTCTTCGTAAAGGCTATGAAGATTGACTATGTGAGGATGAGGGGAGAGAAGCTGAACGATTTTGGCCTCATTAAAGAGGCATTGCGTGTCGAGGGAGTCTCCGGCGGCAGTTATGGCTACCTTATCGATGGATTTAACTGCGTAGGAATCACCGGAGTCCGTGGACGAGCATCGGTAAACGGTACCAAATCTTCCCCGTCCGATCTCTTCTGAAACGACGTAGTCTCGCCGGAGGTATTCACTCATCACTGTTTGCTGATTTGCTTTGTTTCAGGGAAGTTAACAAAACTTGATTATGAGAATGGGTTTTATAAAACTGTTAGCTGGAGTGAGAATATTAAACTAGAATATTCTGTTTCAGAAGAATGGAATCATTCTATCAAACTAAATGGGATAAACAGTGAGTTGGGTAGCCTATAATTTCTTCAATTACAATATTATCCTTTGATTTTTTTTCACTCAATTTTTAATAATCAATCTAATAAATAATGTATTTTTTTAAAATTAATATTCAACAAATTATTTACTTAATTCAATTTTATTTATTGTTAATATACAAAATTTTATTAAAAAATAAAATGTAAAAAAATTATTTAAATATTCAACAAATGATTTACTTAATTAAATTTATTTATTGTTAATATACAAAATTTTAGTAAAAACTAAATATTCTAATATAAAATAATTATTTTTCTCTCTCCCCACTAATTTTTTTCTCTCCATTTTTTTTCTCTCTTTATTCACTATTTATTTTTTTCTTTTCCTTTCTTTTTACCACAGGACAATATTTAATGAGATAAGGTGATATTAAATTAGTTAAATAGGATACATTAGTATTTTTTGCAAAATTGAAATTTTCTTCCCAACTATTGATGGTAAGATTCTAAGCCCCTATGACATTAAGATTGGTGGAAAACATATACAAGAAAAAAATAATTTATTTTGAAAATTATTTTTAAAAAACCAAGCATACATAATAAACATTTTCATGTTCATATTAAAAAAAATATATATAAAATTTCAATACTTTTTTTCATGAAATATTAAGAAGATTTGCGGATATGCATCTAATATAAGATTATTCTAATTTTTCTTCAAAGGTATAAAATAATATAGTGTTGTACACCTCAAAAAAATGCATTTAGTTTAAACATTCACGTGTTTGCATAAAATATTTTCTAACTTTTAGATATTTAAATATATTAAATTTAAAATTTGTTATTTAAAATAATTTATATAAGTAAGATAATTAAATTTATTAAAATTAAATTTTTTTTTTGAATAAGGTGTTTCAATTACTATCAAATATAAAAATTATCGTTATTATAATGTGAATTAAGTCTAATTCATAGTATTTATTTCTTATCTAGATGAGTAAGGTTGGACCAAGATAGAATAAGATAAATTAGATTGAGTCAAGTGAGATTGAAACAAACTAAACCAATTAGGTTAGATCTAATTAAAACAAATTGTTATAGGGCAGGAAGGTTAGGATGAGTGAATATTAGTCGGATTATGTGGAGTTGAGTTAAGTTCAAATGAGTCAAATTTGATCATAAGTGAATATGATAAACTAAGATTAGATAGGTTGAATCGTGTCAAAACAAGATGTGTCTAGCTGTGACATGTCAGATCAAGGTGAGTCAAGGTTGAAATATGTTGAGTTTGGGTGGAATAGACCTACTCCGACTAATTAAGTTGAATCAACAATGAATAAATAAATTAGACTAGGACAATTTAGGTCGAAATGGGTTGAACAAGATTAAAATAAGTTGAATCAGATCAATATATGAAATGTCAGCTCAAAAATGATTAAGTAGTTTAATGATGGTGTTGAGTTGAACCATGTCAAGATGGATATGTCCAAACTAGGTCATATTGATATGAATGGACTTGTACTCGGAACGAATTAAAAATACTCTAACCAAAATTGACTCAAGTAGAAAATATATAGAAAAAAAAATTTAAGAATTTTTTTTTAGATAAAATTTAAATTTTTTTATTTTAAATAATCAAAAAATTTCTAACTTTTTAAAAACTCTGTTAAAATGAATTAAATTCGTGGTTCAAAGCTAAAGACTTAAATTATTTATTTGTTAAATATGTAAACCTAAACAAATTATGAAGACTAAATTATTATTAAGATTTTCCTTATAAAAAAGCTAATAAAGATAATACATTAATTTTGAGATAAAATTGCATCTTAACTTTTTTTTTTTTAACTTACCAATTAGATTGACTTGATCACTTCCACTCCAACGGACACTATATAATTGTATTTTAGATTGAATTACTTATTTATTTATTTAATTATATAATATAATTGTATTTTAAATTGAATTGTTTTTTTATAATGTATTTTTAATTTGATCATTCAATTAATTTTTAAAATTGATGTAATGTTATCTTGCAACAATTATCAAAGCTAACAATGATAGAATCTGCATTAATTTTAAATTATTCCTAATTAATAATAATTTAAACCATAATTAATTAAATTTTAATTAAAAAATATACAATTTAAAAATAGTGACAGTTTTGTACCATCACTAAGATAATTTACAAACACATAATTATTAATAAAACTAAAACTACAAATTGAAATACTAAATTATATTTTTTATTTTAAAAAGGAAAAAAATCTATAAATTAAAATAAAATTATATATATACTACTTAGATCAATGTTATATACAAAAAATAATTTGCAAAAGTATGTTTTTATTTATTTTTTAAGAGATGATTTTAACTAATGTATAAATTGATTTTAATTTGTTAAAAAGTTGGTTATTTATTTTATAATTTTTTATTTATTGGTGGAGAAATTATTTAAACATAGTAATAAAGTATGAGGTTTGTGCAAGATTTGCATGTGATAGAAGTGGTGTTTGGAAAGAGATGATAATGAAAGAAGCAGGGTGCCAAACCAGCCATTTTCATACATGTGTGCCCACGACTCAAGATTACTGGTGCTATTCCTTCACTACATGATTTTATTATTTGTTTCTTTCTGGGTAAATGACAAGGAAACAGAAAGAGCAAAACAAAATCAGAGAAGACATATAAGGCTTGAATTTGACCACTAAAGTAATGCAGTCTGGTTTGTGGTATTTTGAGTTCAGGATATCTACTACCACTCTCACGCTACGGCACCTTCAGAATCCGTAGGACATAGCAAACAGCATAATCTTCCTATTGTTTTGTTTTAGTGAATTGACATGGTAAATTTATTTCAAACCTAAGTGTGATTCATTTTTCACAATTGCACTAGGATCAAGTTTACGAACTAAGTGAATTGTATTTTAACTTAATCCTAAATAATTTTTTTATGTCGTAGCTTGTATCTAAGCTAGCAGTTCAGAAAGATTACTTCCATCACGTAACGCCTCTCAATTTATTTATTATCAAGCGGTAACGAAAATCATTCTAAAAAATTTAAAACTTACTAGAATCAAAATCAATAAAAGAAAGTAAGAAGACAAAACGAATGAATTATATTTATGAAAATAAGAAATGTGTTGGTAACAGATTGTGCAATGGAAAGCAATCACTCTGTCATTATAACACTGTTGAAGATTAACAGAAGCGAATTACATGAAGAAAAGACACACCTTATTTGTAAGGTCACACAAAACTCCTTTTATTGTTGAAAGAAATATTTATTTGACCAGAAAAGCTTAGTCCTAGAAGTTGCTCATAACCGAAAACTAAGCTTAATCCCACACTCTCTCATTCATAACATCAACGGGCCGTGGAGTTGAATTCTAGTGTATGGCAATTGAAGTAGTATCAGTGTGGCAGCATTTATAGCTGATGAAAATCTCCATTATCCTGCCACACTCGGGGCATTTTATGCTCTCTGGCAACCTTCCTGCAACATTAGGAATTTCAAGGTGTATGCAGCGATGAGTGGTGCGCACAATTCTTTCATGGTGCTCTTTGAAGGAAGACTCAAAGCCATTTTTCAGCACAGCCTCTTTCCATTTCTCAAACTCTGCCACTGTCTTCAAGATTGTGGTTCCATGACCACTCACCACCACATATGACCCTTTGCATAGGACAGCCCACCCAGTTTCATTCTTGTAAGAAAGCATCTTTTGCACTTCTTGAGTCACTGCATCAACTGTGTTGTGAGCCTTGGTCACAAACAAGCTTTCTATGCCGCTCCAAAACCTCCTCAGAAAGTTTTTATCTTCCTTTTCCACACAGAACAATTCTATTTGAATCTTTGCCTCCTTGAGAGCGCCGTCATTTGCAAAGGTACTTGCATACTTTGTGAATTGCTGGATCCATTCTTTGTCGCTGCCTCCGTAGATGAGAATGTATTTTTGCTCTCTGATCTGCATCTCAGAAAGTGTCACCACAACCTTCTACTTAAGCTCTTAAACAATACCAATGCTTGAGATAATAATTAAAGGCAAAATATTCAAAACTTGGTTGCTCAAAAAACTGTACGGATTGAGTATATGTACTTACCCAGGTGCTTATTTGAGGGTGAGAATCCCCTACCACCGAACCAATCCAGTGAATTTCTCTATCAATTCTCTCTTGATCAGCAATAGTAAAGGGAAAGGCCTTCATTCCATAAACATGTATAAGATGGAAAGCGTTTGCGTGTTGCACTTTTCCCTGAGGATTCAACACCACAACCATAGGCTTCTTTTTGAAGTGCCATTCTTCCTTGATGTACTTGTACCCTGCTATGGTTCCAAAGTGCTGCACAACGTACCATGGCATCTTGCTTTTCAAAACCTCGAATCTCTTGTGCAATTTTTCGGTCCATTCTTCTACAATGGGAATCCACACAATCTTATATTGATCATTAGTTTTAATATATTCATAAACTGGTCGTAGTACTGAAATCTCTTCATCCGTGATTTCTAGCGTTGAGATCAACAAGTAAACATTCTTCTTCTTGAGTTCAGTGATTTCAATCTGCCCAAACAAAAAATGAATTAAAATCAACACACGTGAATCAAGGAAAACGGACATCATGTCTGCACAAATGATTTTGCACAGCATTAAATATATTTTAGATTTTTAGTGTCAAATAGAATGATATCACAATATCGATATGTTTAAAACAAATTTTATTTATTCTTTATTTCCACTATCTATCTATCTGTATGTCCGCATTCTATTATATAATCTTGTTTTATTAAGTTAAAAATTTAATATTTATATTGATTTTGATTTATATTATTAATAGACATGTATTCACGAGTGATTTGTATATTAGCATTTGAAATGTTTAATTTTTGTCTTCAAACAGAAGTTTAACTTAAACAATTGGGTTATTTATGAAAAGTTAGCCAATACAACTGAATTCAAGATAACAATGTAGACCCCAGAGCTTTTAACAATAGTTATATCTTTAAGCTAATTTTGAATAAAAGCATGTAAACAAATTGGGATAATCACCTTTACCAATTGTTACAGATACTTTCTTAATTATTCATTGTTTCAATATATTATATTTTATGTTAATCATTAAATTATTATTTTCTAAATTTTATAAGTTAAAAATAATTTCATATCATAATTTAAATTATTTATTATAAATTTTAATTAATAGTATAATTTATAAATTAAAATATTTATATAAAAGTAATCATTTATTCTTTTACAAAACAATTATGCTTTTACCAAAGTTTTGTTCTAACACTTGAATTAGTATTTTCTATATATTCCATTGAAAAAACATGTGTATTCTCTGTTTTAAGACGATAGAGCATAAACTATTAATGAAAAGAGGAAAAATAAATCTGTTGATTAAATGGTAGAAGTTGAATTAAAACGGTAAGATGTTTAAAAGTCATAATATTTGCACTTATTATTGGAAGGTAATTAATTGCCCAAACTTTATAGTATAATTTGGTTGAAAGAGTTACAAACCGTGGTCTTGGTGGCACCATCAAACAGTAGCTGTGGGGCATCCTTCGAAAAAACCAGAAACTTAAACACCTCCATTATTTCAGTAGGCGTCTGAAAAAATTTCCTGAGCCTGTGATGATACTCCGCCTCCTCTGAGATGAAAAAGACAAATAATCTACTTATCATGTTAGCAACTTCATTTTAGTTTAAAATGCGAAAGTTAAACTTGTCAAGTTTGCTTGCTTTAAAAGATAAATGGTTATCCAGTTTAATTACGGACCTATCTGTTGTCTGCAAAGCATGATTTGCTTCCTAAGTTTGCTAAGTATGATGTTGATCTTTTGACCATAGTGGGACAGATCTTGCTTGTTCCCTCTGAAATCAAACAGTTATGGGAATATTAACAACTTGTAATAAAATGACAAAGAATATATACGTAAAAGAACCAAGATAACTATGGAAGTTACTTACGATTCAGTAGTGAGGTAATCAATCTGAGTTACAATAGCCACAATGGTGATGATGGCCCAGTAGACATCAACAGGAATTTGTTCTATTGCAGGCAACAAAGCAGGCACGTCCTTTGTGTCGAACGATGTTAGTTTCTCCAACTCAAAGATTAATTCAATCACTAGCAACGTTGTTTTGACCAGATTGTTGAGCTCGGTGATGGCTTGACGATGCTTTTGCAGTGCTGCAGGTCTTGTGAGCACCGGCACTCGCTTCAGAAAAGCCACTGATTTTGCAATAGGGTCTGTGGGTTGATGCTGAGCTAGCAACCAGAACTCGCCATATTCCATTGCGAAAGCTGCCAGTGCCAGCACCGCTTTTGCATCCCACTCATAGTTTGAAAGCTTCACAAGTATTGTCATAGTAGTTTTGTGAGCAATTTCCTCTCCAACAGGCTTGCATGACATCTGTAATCATTCAAGATGTTACTTTGCTGAACTATATATACTAGCCACAAGATATTATTAGATAGTTTCAATCACGTCACATGTTGATAATCCTGATTAATCTTTACGTGACACATAACGCATTTTTTGTTTGCATTAAATTTGAATAAGTTAATGAATGACCTCGGAAGAAATTTGCCTCAGGGTGCAGAGTGGTGAATTGAAGTTGGCTTGGGGGATCTTGTCTTCTAGCTGCTCCAGGCTTGATTTGGAGCCCTGTAAAATTAATCATAATTGCATGGAAATATGAAGGAAATTGAGAAATCAAAGAGGGAGGGAAATATTGAAACAGAAATAGAAATATAAAAGATATTGGTGTATTGGTGTCTATGCATACCTGAAGAACACTGTCAACAATGAGAGTTGAACGCCTAAGGGTGTTCTCGACAAGAATGAAAAGAGAGTCGACATCAAACTTTGTGTGACTGTGGACATGGGTTGAGTAAATTTGCTCCAATATCTGCTCATCGGACATGCTTAACGGGTTGTGCTCACTCTCTGCGGTTCGGCTGAAGAGAGACTTGAGTGAATGCTTGGTGGCCATTATGGTCGCAGCTCTCAAGAATAATAGCAAAGTCTGAGAGATGGAAAGATCAAAAGAATGAGAGTTGCGTTGATGATTAAGCAGAGTCCTACTCTATTTATAAAGTGGTGACGTGATTAATTTTGGTAACTAGTGTTTGTCAAATAGATTAGCGGGGAGTTATACTAATTTAATCATCATCACTGTATGTGTAGTCGGACATTTAGTTCCTAAGATTTATAAAATCTTTTCTAGATCTCTAATCTTGTAAACATGACTTTTAGGAAACAAATGTGCATGATAAATAGAAATATAAAAAACATAAACCATTGGTAATTAGCAGAAATTAGAAGAAGTGCCAGTTTTTTTGTTAAGAAAAGTGTTTTAACATTTTTCTTTATAGAACATCAGTCACTTAAGTTTATTTTCATGTAAATTGAAACAGGATAAAGTAGAAAAAAATTAAACTAAATTATATATATATATATATATATATATATATATATATATATATATATATATATTGCAAAATTTAGGTGGGATCTATACCATCTTGATAGAATAATCTTAAGTGAATATTTATGATTTTAGTTCCAGAAATTTTGAGACACTGTTAATCTATAGAGTTAGAAAACTGTTGTATAAATTTTTGAAATTAAAATGTGTGAGTGAAGTTAGTCTTTGTTATTAGCTTTGTTGAAAACTGTTAAGGAAATATAAGTGTGATTCTTAATTTTATATTAGATAAAAATGAGAAAGTTAAGTAACATATAAAAAAGTATTATTTATAACTTAATATTTAATTTTTTGAATTAAGAGTGATATTAATCCCTTACGTTGATTGAACTGATTGGTGTGTTATTCCCTTTAAATCTTTCTCAAAAAACCAACAAAAATTATAATATAAATTTAGAAATTTATATTATATTTTTATTTTAAAGGATTATTTTAAATATCTCTTAATCTAAAAAAATGATATTATATTCAATCTAATGACTAATTTGAAGATTTAGTGGGTTAGACATATGTACCTTTTTATATGGATATTCGGTAATGTAACTTATTCAATGACCTTGCGTTCGTGCCTCTTCCAACTAGATTAAAGACCCATATAATTTTCATCATAACATACATAATATATGATTGTTAAATAAATTATTTATCTAAATTTTGTAGATTAGGATTGTAGCATGTGACATATATTAATATTTTACACAATAATTTACTACTTAAATATTGAAATTACTAGAATAAACGTTGAAGTTATAATTTTATAGATGTTAGAATTGACTATCATACGTGATGATTTGTTTAGATAAATATATTTTTAAATAACTTTTAGGACCGGAATGGTTGTGCTGAACGTTTGTTTAAGTCTGCCTACGGGTCTTCATGGAATATTTAGCTCTGCTTTTCTTTATTCCGCGTGTTATGTCTGTTGATCATGCGTCTAATGTATTTTTGTTAGTTAACCTTTTGCCCATGTTTATGAAAAGAAATAGACAATGATGAAGAACATTATGTAGCAATCTTGTCTTATTGGTTAACTATATGTATTTTAGCACCTTTTCATTCCCCTTTCCTTTAATTCAATCATTTGCCTTTTAATCATTTACAGTTAATGTGTCTACCTGTCGTATGTATCGATCATTCAACACAACGTCTTCATACTTTGATGTTTGGTTATGTATGTCTTATTACGTTGAATAATTGTGTTTGGTTCATATTTGATTCTTGATGATATTGGTTCATCATAGTTTCCCTTTTGTGGGTGAGAGAATTGCTTTTTGGTGTTGTATGAACTTCGTTGTGCTTACCCGTGAACGTGTAAACTTTATCGGCACATGATGCACATAATCAGTCGTACTTATACATTTTCGATTCCTTTACATTTCTCATATTTTTTAAAGTAATTTTATTAGTACGTAAAAATTGTGAGATTGATATTTTACTCGTTAGCATGGTGCCTATTTGACGGGATAGATTCTTGATCATGACTTTTGCCAAGCTGGTTTTGTTTTAAATGGAATGTTTTTATTGACTTGAGCTCTTTCAAATTTGTATGACATAAATCCTATTATGTGGTCTTGTCCCACACGGATAAACACACTATTAAGATCTCTCTATATATAACCATGGCATTTTATGTTTAATATTCTAACCAAAATTCAGCACTAAAGATATTCCAAGTTACTCTATAAATAAGTTTATTTCAACTGTTTGAATTTATTTTTATCTTAAAAAAGAAAAATTTAAGCTACTTTTATTTTATAAAAAGTTCTTAAAAAGTAACTGAACAGGAAAATTTCTGAGTAAGAAAAGAAGTTTTTAAGTCAGATAATAAGAGCTCTTGTACATTTTATACAAAGTTTATTCACTTAACTTTCTCTTTGATAATACTAACAAAATCTAAAATTTTATATATTATTGTCAGTTTTTATTTTACTAACTTCTCGACTTGAATTTTTACCAAATTTTCCATTTTAAGTATCGTTGTTGCAATCACCATGGAGGCGCATGATTTTTTTTTCTTTTTGGCAAGAGAATAAAATAAACATTGAAAATGAAAATAAATACATTATTAAAAGTATAATATTAACATGTGTATTTTTTTTCATTGATTAAATTAACTAGCATGAGAGTATTTTAACTTAATAAGATACTTTAAAATTTGAGTTTAGATATATCATTGTATTAAATATTTAAAATAAAAACTTTATTATCTATAATAATATAAAGAAAAAATTTTAAGTTGCATAAGTTAAATAAGATGAGACTATTCAACCTAATAAGAAATTTATTAAGTTTAGATATGAAAAACTTTATTTTTATAATAGTAAGTGGTTATTAACTCAAATATCAACAGTTTATATAATTAGTGCAAGCACAAAATTGAAACATTTATACAATAAAAGAAATAATTTTCTTTGTCACTATCAATGTCATTTATTAAATTACTATTTTTAAAGTACTAGAAATTGTCATTTATATATTCTGATTTTCTTAGTCATTTTCTAAGCTAATTTAGTAATCATCAATTTTGTAAGCGCATATTTCATAATTATGCACTTTAAATCATTTTTCAGATTCTTCTTAGAAAAAATGACATTGCACTAGCATAATTCATATTTTATTGCAATAACATTAAATTAAATTATTTCTTTATTAACAAATATTAAAATAAAAGTGTTTTTCATATAAATCATATTTATAAATTCTTATTTATTCTAATTTCGTTATAATGAACCTTCGTATACACAAAACGAGAAAACACATACTTTTGAAATATATAAAAGTGTAGAGTATTATTTGATCATATTTTATGGTTGTTATTTTTTATAAAATTTGATATAAAAAGAATCATGGTATTATATAATTATTATTGATTGATAAATATTATCACATTCAATATAAAATTATTAAACTATATTAATTAATTAATAAAATACATAAGCCGTATAAGTGTAGTTTGATTATTTTCCATGATAAAATTTTGTAAATATAAAAGCAACTCTGGTTAAAAATATAATAAATTACTCTCGATAAAAGTATAAATATTTACTATTTAAATAAATAAAGAATATATACCCTCATATGAATTTATAAATTTTAGATTAATAATATGTTTTTCTAAAATTTATCTTAAGTACTCTAAGTTTATATCTCTAGATTTTATGATTTTCAATATTTGAAAGATGGTTAGATATGTTAAAACAAACTTCTTATTTTCCATTTGTATACTACGACAGAGTGAAGTTATAAACTGAAGACTTTTGCATAAAAAAGAAAATAATTAATCATAATGTTAAGCACTTTTTTTAATTAATAACCGTCCCGGCCAGTTTACTTGAAAACAAAACGTAAAATCAACAATTCTTATAAAAAAATATATTTTAAAGTAATTAATAAAGGAGAATAAAAGCTTAATATACAATCACAAATAAATAAAAATGAGATTTACTAAATATAATGTTCATAATATTCAACCACTTCAAAGCGTAATAGCAAGCCATGGTTGTCAATCAATAAAATAAGAAAAAGTGAGAATTGTATTGAGTCCAGATCTATAGACAATTAGAATGAAAATTATAATCATTTAACATGTGTATAATCAGAAAAAATAATTAAAAATTATTATTATATTAATAACTTGCATTATAGTTATATTATGAAAGCATAAATTCTCTCATCTCACCGTCACAGGTCCATCTAGCACTTTTTCAATGTTTTTTGTTTGTCGTTGGGGTTGAAATTTGGAGCTTGTTTACTATTGGGCTTCTTTTATATTGGACTTATTATATTTAAGTCTTTAGTTTGGTTCGAATCTATCAAATAAACTAAAATCAGATCTACATCTATTTATTTCTGAACTGTTCACTAACACCACAATGTTTTACGATTAAACCAACACCATGAAATAAAACGAAAAAAAAAATACAGACAATCCTCTTTTCACAATGCAACTACCCAACCACTTCAATTATTAATATAATAATAATAATAATTTTCAATATTTTTTTCTGATTGAATCATGATATGAATACTATATTAATATACATAGCTATGTAGTATGATGATTTTAGGTGTATTATTATGGCATGGTGCACCCGATAAAGTTGTGGTATACTCAAGCATTGCTACACAATCTATAAGAAGATATGGTGTGATTATTTCATAGAAAAGATCGAGACATGTTACTTAGAAAACATAGAGACCTTAAGACACTTTTTTGTTTTTTGATACAGAGAGAGATCTTTATTTAACAAGAGAAGCTAGTGCGTAATCGCATAGCAGGTGTGAGGTGAGGCAAGCTTCTTATTCCAACACAAACTCTCTCTCTCTCTCTTTCTCATGGTAACAAAACAAGCCAGTCACATTGAATCTACTGAATGGCATTGCTGGTATTCTCATTGTGGCAGCATTTATAGCTGATGAAAATCTCCATAACCCTAGGACAATCTGGGCATTTGATGGTCTCTGGTAACTTTCCTGCAACATTAGGAATTTCAAGGTGTGAGCAA